AGGTAGTAAAACAAGATTTAATGGAGTGAGATATAGATTGGCGGATGGTATGTCTTAGAACGGAATGGAGAAAAGCTATAAGTATGGTGGAAGGTTAGACCCGTTGTTATTCCTATGTTCCACATGGTCCCTTTTTAGTCATTTTCCCCTTAATTTCCCCCACTTCTTCTTGTCCCTTTCTTTTTTACTTTTATTTATTTATATATACATATATATATATATTTTATATTTTTATTTTATTTTATTTTATTTTTATTTTATTTATTTTTATTTATTTTTATTTTTTTCAACCGTTTTGTATCTTTCGTGTGGATTCATCTACCACCGACCCCAATTAATTTGGGATAAAGGTGATGTTGATGTTGATCTAAGTATTTTATCTAAATGTCTAAGATATTTTATCTAAATCTCTAAGATATTTTATATTTTATTTATTATTAATATATATATTTTTTAAAATATTACAATATTTGTAAATGATAAGTTTTTCTGCACTTGTAGGACGATAACTATAACACCTCGTATAATTAATTAAATTGAGGGTTAGAGATTATGTTTAGTGAAAATCCTAAATTATGGGTCAAAAATACGTACGAAGGGTAAAACGGTAAATCAACAAACATGTAACCATAAATTGTAAAATGATAGGATTAGGCCTCAATTGATTAAAATAATACTGGAAATAGATTCATAATGAAAAATTGAGTGATCAGACAAGTTTCTACAAAATTGATGAATAGTATTTTTACTAGATGAAATATTGCGGTACAGTTGCACCGAAAAACGTACAAAGTGAGATTAGTGCTCTAGGATTGAATATATTTTGGAAAAGGTACTTAGAACCAAGAAATATGATTATTGGTACAATTTGATGGATTTTTGAAAAAGTGTGCCAACGGTGCACCACTAAGGGTAAAACAGTAATTTCACAAAATTACCTGGAAACTCCGGATTTATCTGTTCAAAGGTATTTAAAGGACTTTGGTGAATGTTAAATTTTTGATTTAATGGATAGTTCATGAATTAATTAAAGATTAGTGGTGAGTTTAAGTGAGGTGGCATTTGTGGGACCCACCTCCACTTAAGTGACTTATGAGTACATGTAGAATCAGAATTTTTGAGTCTTCTCCCTCCTCCAAACAGCCCCAATTTCATGGACCACCATTTTTGAAACCAAAGAAAATCTTGAGAACTTCAAACCATCATAACTTAAGTTTTAGGCCACCAAATTGAGCGATTCCAAAGCCTAAATTATGTGGAATCTTGAGAGGAACACATTCATACATTCATTTTTGTGCGGAGAGTATTGTGTGAAGAGATAACCCTCCATGACAGCCACAAAAATTTGATGGAGATCCACCATCTTGGGTTATTTCATGAGTTTGGGAGTTTGTATGTTAATGTCTTGGACCTAAGGAGTTGATTTGTTGTAAGTATTCTTAATTTCATTGAGTTTTGTTGATGATTTGAAAATGAGTATAAAACTTAAATATGTGTGAGCTGGTTGTGGTAGTTTGAGGCATATAATGGTAGTGTTCTTTGAAATTAAATGCTTACAATGATAATTGAACTCATAAAAATTATCGAGGAAAAGTTTAATAACTTAGTGAAAATTTTGAGTGGAAAGTGTATGGAAATTGAATGAACTAATGAATGTTGAAGTTGAAATTGAGTTTTGGACTAGTAATAATAGTTAATTACATGATGAATGATGCATTGTATGCTTAAAAATTAATTGAAAATCCCCTGGCCATTGGAGTGTGTAGGTTCGGCCATGTGAGGGAATTGTGAACAAAATTGTGTAATTGAGTTGTTGGTGATTTAAATCATTAATAATGAGGTTGAATGAGAGTGTAATGCATGAGAATTGGATTAAAAATCCATTGGTTCCTTGTGGATGAACCCTCGGCCTTGTGTAAGTTTTAGGAAAATTATGATTGGTTGTATTATGATATGGATGAAGGTGTGGCATTTTGTTGAACATAGTGGTTAATGTTAAATAATGACTTAGAAACATAGAAATGGGTGAAAATCTCCTTGAACCATTGGTGTGTGTGTCTTGGCCGAATTGGCAAGAATGGAGTCTAAATGTAGTTTAAACTGTTGCGAAGTGATGATGGTTGTCATGGTGTGGTTAAAGCCTAATGGAACTATAAGGTTGGTTAATTGAAATTAAATCAATGATGCTGGCCTTTGGGAGTATTAAGGCCAAGGCATATATGTGGTTGTTGGAAGTTATTTTGTGTCAATTTTTTCTTGTGTTGACAAGCTTTGTTTTGAGTATTATGTGTATGACTATGTAGGTGGAGACTTTTGAATCCTATGCCGAAGGATTGACCTCCAACATCTCATCTTGGAAACCTTGGTTCTTGGTTGCAAGGAGTGTGACATTGTGGTGGAAAAACATTGAATGTGGGCTTTCTTGTTGAGCAAGGAAGCGAGACTTGGAAGAACCTATTGAGATAATCTCTTAGGAGTTAATCCCTGTGTGTGCTCAACCATGCCCAGTAGGGTAGTGGTTGGAAGTTATGAATGCAATTGTATATGTTATAACATGATCATGCGTGTGTATGCTGATTGGTATATATGAGTTTATACTGTATCTCTGACCAGTAGATAGATTGCCGTATTTGTCGTAGGGGACTTTCACTTGAGAGGCCTTCGTAGGGAGTTCCAGTTGGCCGAGGGCCAAAGAGTTGTGATCTGTTGAGGAGCACTATAGGAATGTCTTTGGAGTTATAGTTGTGGGTGCCTTAAATTATATCCCGGGGATATAATATTGGATATGGACCCGATTGATATTCCGTATGCCGTAGGCCATTGGGCCGTGTTGTTTTGTATGTTCTATTTATAGCAATATTATTGTCATTGTACATCTGAATGAGCCATTGGACGAAGTGATCCTCCATAGCCTTTGGGTTACTGAGATATATTCGTATATCTCACCCTGTGTTATGAGGCTATGTTTCAAATTCAGGTAGCGGTGCAAGAGTGTTAGGCAAGAGGCCCACAATATGATATGGATTAGAGTCATTGGAGTATACTATGACATTTGACATATTTTGCATTTTGGGATTTTATTTGGCATGCTAGACTTAGTGCATGAACATATTGTATTGCATAAGTGATGTATACCGTACTTTGTTGTTGTTCATGTAGCATTTTAAGGCTAAGTCTAGTAATGATGTATGTAATATTATTTCGGGCATTATGATGTACAATTAGCGAAAAGATAATCGCATTTCCGGTGGAAAAATATCAACAAAATAGGAAATAAGTTCAAAAATAAATTTAATTTTTTTTGACCAAATCCTTTTCAATAAGGTATCATTATGTAGATCTCAAAAAGTTATGTGCAATAAAAAAGGAAAAAATTATTCTCATGTTACATGAGATAAGTTTTCCCTCCTACACATTCCTCGACAACTATGTCACCTTTTTCTTTTCTTTTGTTTTTATTTTTTCAGGTGGTGGAGCCCACAAGTTTGTCTTTATGACATGAGATAACTTATCTCCTTTAACATGAGATTAATAAAATCCATAAAAGAAATCACGTTACTCGAACACCTTAGTCAAAAGTTATGATTTTTCAAAGTTTTACGATCAATCTGTTGACTTTTTTTTACCACGTGTAGTCACCGGGTGAGTCGCGCTTGTGTGGGGCGCGACTTAGCACAAGTGGCGCATCTGTGAGGCGTGAGCAGTCCCACCTATATGGGGCGCGACTAGTTGTTATAGATCCATAAATTGGTTCCAAAATACTATATTTTCATATTTTTTTTGATATTCTAATTTTTTATTTAAATAATAGGAAAAAGTTTGTATTCTTTAGAAGGATGATCGTTTTAAGATATAAAGAGATAGATAATAGGGAGAGAGAAAAAAAAAATCTCGCTCTTTCTCCCCCAGGATTTATTTCTATATTTCTCTTAAAAAGGATACAACTTTATATACTTTAAAATGATACACATTTGTGTACAAAAAAAACGATACACATTTTCCCATAATAATAATAATAATAGAGAAAAATATTGATTTTTTTAAAGGGTATATAATTGTGTCATTTTAAGAAAGAAAAAGACACAACCTAATATTTCTTATTTAAAATTTAAATTAAAAAATACTCATTTCCTCTCCCATGATTTTCATTGCTTGTGTCTTTTTCTCACTTAAATGATATAACTTTATGTCCTTTTAAAAGAAAAAATCAATGTTATTAAAATCGGCCCGTTCAATGACCCGGTCGAGGTACTGGGTCACTGGTTCAATCAGTGGGTCACTGGTTGAACCGCATGACCAGGTGATTATATATAAATCTATAATTTATATTAAATAAATTATAAATATACTCAAATAGTTGAAAATAATAATATAAATTTGAAATATTTTAATATAAAAATAATAAATTATACATTATTGTCCAATAAAGGATCAAACAAACACATAATGCTTGTTGTATTGGTGTTTCAGATTCGGTAAACGACATCTCTAACTATCAAATTAAAATTCCCTGCATAATGCATAATTGAGATAATATTAAGATTGTAAGTACATAACTTATGTAAGTCAATAAGTAACAAATCACTCAGATATGTCAATTATGATTTTTTTTTATGAAAAACTTTTTTTTTTTGAATTTTTTTTTTAAAAACCCGGGCCGGGTCACCAATTTTTCACCAAAATCGAGCGAGTCACACCAAGTCTGATACTTGACCGATCCAATGTGATAATTTGAACCGGTCAGATGATCGATTCATTGGGTTCCGAGTCGATCCGCCGATTTTCACGGCAATGGAAACAACACTAAACTCATAATAATATATTAATTTTTTCACCCACACAATTCAATTAAAACCAACACAACCAACTAAATCAATTTTTTAGTTTTTACTTTTTTTAAATTAAAAACAGACCAAACCGAACCGGGATTTCTCTTCCCAATTGAACCAGGAGTGAAGCACCGAAAACACCGCACTTTCTACTTCCATTGCCCCCTCTCCTTTACGCATTCCCTATTTCCTCCGGTCACCGGAACCCTTCCTCTCCAACCCCTATGTCCTCCGCCAAATCGCGAAACTTCCGCCGCCGTGGCGGCGACGCCGAAGCCAACGACGACGACGGAGACACTTCCTCCGCAACCGCCCTCTCTTCCAAGCCTTCTTCCTCCGCCCCAACCGCCAAGCCTAAGAAGCCCCAAGCCCCCAAACTTCTCAGCTTCGCAGACGACGAAAACGAAAACGAAAACGGAAACCAAAACCCGCGGCCGCGCTCCTCCTCGAAACCCCACCGCTCCTCCGCCGCCGGCAAATCCTCATCCTCTCACAAGATAACCACTCTCAAGGACCGAATCGCACATTCCTCGTCTCCTTCGGTCCTTTCCAATGTTCAACCCCAAGCCGGAACCTATACCAAAGAAGCACTCCTCGAGCTACAGAAGAACACCCGAACCTTGGTCACTAGTAGCACCTCTCGTCCTCCTCCTCCTTCTTCTTCCGATCCCAAACCTTCCTCCGAGTCTGTCATCGTCTTGAAGGGCCTAGTCAAACCCTTAGCTTCGGAGTCCCAGGGTCGGGATTCTGATTCCGAAGGGGAACGCAGAGAAGTTGAGTCCAAATTCGCTTCTGTCGGCATTGAGAACGGGAAGGACTCGCTGTTTCCCGATGAAGATACCATCAAAGCTATCCGGGCGAAGCGGGAGCGGCTCCGGCTTTCGCGCCCCGCCGCGCCGGATTATATCTCGTTGGATGGTGGAAGCAATCACGGCGCTGCAGAGGGGCTGAGCGATGAGGAGCCGGAGTTTCGGGGCAGGATTGCCATGTTTGGGGAGAAGGTGGAAGGTGGGAAGAAGGGTGTTTTTGAGGATGTGGACGAGAGGAGAGTGGATGTGAGGTTCAAGGGTGGAGATGTTGAGAATGTGGATGATGATGATGATGAGGAGGAGAAGATGTGGGAAGAAGAGCAGTTTAGGAAAGGATTGGGGAAGAGAATGGATGAAGGGTCTGCTAGGGTTGTTGGCAATGATGTTCCTGTTGTGCAAAGTGCCCAACAGCACAAGTTTGTTGTTACCCCTGTTGCAACTGTGTATGGTGCAGTTCCAAGTGCACCATCAGTGAGTCCCAGCATTGGTGGAGCAATCGAACCGTTACCAGCTTTGGATGTCATGCCTATCTCTCAACAAGCCGAGATAGCCAGAAAAGCTTTGCAAGAGAATGTGAGGAGGCTTAAGGTATGGAACATTTTTTACATTTAGTACGTGTCTTGGTTTTTTATGTCAAAAGTCCTTACTTTGTAGTCTTGTTGCCAAATCATTACAATGTAGCCTATATTACAGTGTTGTTAATTACATCTGAAGGAAGAAAGTCGACTGATTTCCAACATGTGTTCCAGAGGATTGTAAAATATGGTAGTTGAAAGAAAAGGATGGCCACAGTTGTGGAGGGACCAATAATATAGGCTTGACATTTATTCTTCCAAACATGTTTGTGCTTCATGGGATTCGGGTGGAGTCTCTTCCAAACATGAATATGGATATATAATTACATATTTTCATATAGCTAGTCATGATAGTTGGCTTGGATATGGGACTTGCTTTGGCATGAAATTTATCAAACTTTCTCTTATATTGGATTGATACATTTTCTTAATTGCTTATTACTTTTTTTTTTTTTGGTGACAGGAATCTCATGGAAGAACAATGTCAGCATTGAATAAAACTGATGAAAATTTGTCTGCCTCCCTTTTGAACATTACTGCTCTTGAAAACTCTTTAGTAATAGCTGATGAGAAGTACAGATTTATGCAAAAGCTCCGAAGTTATGTCACAAATATATGTGACTTTCTACAGGTATTCTGATACAAACCTTCAACCGAAATATAAATCAATAACAGAGAACCAAGTGTTTTTGGCCTGAATAATCAGATTTTTCATGTATTGATGGAATTCAAATGACAATTACAGGGACTATGACAATTAACAGAGACAATTTAACAAGAAAAGGACGATTACATGCGCTAGAAAATGCTTAACAGTAAAGGAAAAGCAATAGAAGATAGTGTGAGACAATTATAGAGATCTCACTCTCTCCCAATCCCAAAAGGGCCCAATCACTACTCTGATTCCCGATCCCCTTGAGAATGCTGAACCCCTCATCTAAATAGAACCAACTCACTCAACGTGACCCCATGCCATCCAATGTGACTTACTCCTAACAACCTTTGCTGACTCAGCATTATGCAATATTCCTGTGCTTCTCTTTCTTCTATGCACACTTCTAAACCGTTTGCTGACTAGGATATGATTGTATCAATACTCCCCCCCTAACAATCACCTTGTCCTCAAGGTGATGATCATTTTCCGGGGTCCCATTGCTTGAAATGTAATGGCCAGCTAATGCATGAGGCTATGTAACCTCCACCGGGATCCCATAGTGTTACTACCCTTGAACCCTTAATTACCAATTTGTAGGTGGGTGACTCTGCCTTTGTTTTCACAGAGCAAGAAACATGAGCTCTGATTGTCAGATTGTTGTTAGAAGACACAACCGCCTCATCACGTTGATGAAAAACATTAATGATAGTGGAAAAATGCTTTGTTCCAAATATATCTTTCCATTGGTTCACATAGCAGCTAGGCAAAGGGTGTTCTTGTGTTCCATCCAGTTCCAAAAAATCAGAATCTTCAACAAATAAAATTCTCTGTTTATTTTCATGAACTACACGAAACCTCTTCACTACGTTGATTACCTCATAATTGCCTAACTGTCGCCACGCTTCATGACAACCCCAAGGTCTCCATGAACTGACTTCTGAGGTAAACTGAGGAATATTGGCGAAACTGACTTGGTTGTTGACAGACTCCTCCGGCGAACGATTTTGGTTAACGTCTGATACGCCAACGATTGGTATAGTTGCCACTGCTGCTCCGTCTTCGTTTTTCTCACCCTCTTCCTCGTCGTCGTCCACCATTTGCAGATGGAATTGTCGTACCTGACATCTGAGGTTTGGGTACCAACGCTTGTCACATTTAAAGCAAAGATCACGTTGTTGCCCGTCGTGCAGTTCTGCCTGAGATGACCGTCGCTCCTGACCCGAGTAGCTTTCCACCGCGCGACTTCCGGTAACAGACGTCGAAACCTTTGTTGTCGTTCCTTCCTTAGGTTTTTTTGTTTGCTTATTTTGCTGACTAGAATGACCCGTGTTCAAAAATTTGGAACCCATCATTAGTGACTTAACCGGGTTTGGGCTGTTTGTCTGCCCTTAGCCCACCTTTGATGCCTTCCACCCCTTAGCTTCAGATGGGTCTGAACCAATTCGCTGGCCCACAACTACACTGGTCAATCCTTGAGCCCAGTTTCTCCCAATTTGCCCCAATCCTTCCTCCTTCCACGCTGCATTCCATTTTTCGATCTTCAAGGAAAATTTCTTCATCTCTGTCAAGCTGAGCGCCGGAAACCTCAACAACTCTTCCTTGATACTGTTGCGTACGCTGTTCAGCCATGCTTCCATGGGTAAGTCTTCGTCTTCTAACAACAAGTCATCCACCTTCTCAAACTCCGCACGAAACTCCGCAATTCTCCCTCTCTGTTTGAGTGTGTACAATGTCCGGTAAGGGTTGTCCATCAGCTCCAGTTGGATTCGTCTGGTCACCCGAGCATTCAAGTTAAGCCTCCTATCCCTTCTTCGATTTCTTTCCTCGCGTGGGTCTGGTTCGTCGTCCTCGAGGTTGTTCTCCCCATCTCTGGAACGACTCTGTCTCCTCTGACCATTTCGTCCAATCGCCGGATGATTTCTGCTATTCCCCTTTCGTTAGCGTCCATCCTTAATAGAACTTCTTCGTGTCGAGCATCATTAGCGTCAAGTCTTCGAATCACCTCGTCCTGACAATCATTGTTCCTGTGCAACCTTTCTTCCACAACCTTCATTCTGGTTTCCATGCTTCTTGTCGCCACCATGCCCACAGAGCTCCTAGACTGGAGCTCTGGTACCATTTGATACAAACCTTCAACCGAAATATAAATCAATAACAGAGAACCAAGTGTTTTTGGCCTGAATAATCAGATTTTTCATGTATTGATGGAATTCAAATGACAATTACAGAGACTATGACAATTAACAGAGACAATTTAACAAGAAAAGGACGATTACATGTGCTAGAAAATGCTTAACAGTAAAGGAAAAGCAATAGAAGATAGTGTGAGACAATTATAGAGATCTCACTCTCTCCCAATCCCAAAAGGGCCCAATCACTACTCTGATTCTCGATCCCCTTGAGAATGCTGAACCCCTCATCTAAATAGAACCAACTCACTCAACGTGACCCCATGCCATCCAGTGTGACTTACTCCTAACAACCTTTGCTGACTCAGCATTATGCAATATTCCTGTGCTTCTCTTTCTTCTATGCACACTTCTAAACCGTTTGCTGACTAGGATAGGATCGTATCATATTCATATTTCTTGCACTATTCTGTCAGGCAAATTCCTTATCTTCCTTCCTAATTAAATTTGAAGTGGGATTGAGTTGCACTATATTGTATCTATTAAGTTCTTTTTCCCCCCTATATCCCAAGTTTTGCTTCCTTTTCGTCTTCACTACAGCCCCTATGTTTTACTGATGAGATAATGAGGTACCTGTGCTGCTTTACGGCGGTCGGAACTCGAAATACATTATGGACATTAACATAAACAACACTTTTAACCCAAACTAGTTGGCTTGGTGGTTGATGAACCTTAATGAAAAGCAAGAAAAGAATGAGGGAAAAGAAGGGGAAAAAATAAATAAAAATAAAATTAAAGCTGGCTAAAAATTGAAAATTACAAAAGAAAAATATAAAAAAATAAATAAAAATAAAGTGAAAATAAAGATAGATAAGAGAAAAAAATAGAAAAAATAAAAGTAGATAAATAAAAGGAAAAAAATAAAATAGAGAGGAAAATAAATAAATAAATAAATGAAGAAAAATACAGGGAAAAAGGATTAATATGCTAATGATATTGTTTTATAAACTATTTGGCTAGAGTGAAGATTTCTTCTCACAGGCCTTTGATATGTTATGTGATAGAGTTGGTTCTATGACCCCTCTTTGGTGCTTAGTTCTTGGTTGCTTTAAGGCAATCTGCCTAATATATAGGCAGAGTGATTGGAGAGCTTTATTGGGTTGTTGAGCTTTTTTTCTTTTTTGTTTTTGTTTGAGGAGGATATCTTAACATATCCTTGCATTTGTATTTATTTTTCTAGAGTGAAGATTTCTTCTCACAGGCCTTTTATATGTTATGGGGTAGAGTTGGTTCTGTGGCCCCTCTTGGTGCTCAGTTCTTGGTTGCTTTAAGGGAATCTACCTAATATATAGTCAGAGTGATTGGAGAGCTTTATTGCGATGTTGAGCTCTTTTTTTGTTTTGTTTTGTTTGAGGAGGATATCTTAACATATCCTTGCAGTGGTATTTATTTTTCTACTCTCTAATTTTCTTTGTCCGTAAGGACTGAAAACAAATATTTAAGAAGATAGTAAGGCAGACATTTGTGAAATATGTATCACTGGATGGGACATTTATATGAATCAACTGGAAAAAAATTAGCTAGTAATTTTCTGATGATAAACAATTAAAAAGGAAAATCTTCATGCTGTGCAAAATGTTTTGTTTTTAAATTTAATATTTTTTTGGTGTATATGTAGTCCAAAATGTTGATGATATGCGATAGGTCTTTTGACAAATTAACTCATGTGGTGCTTGTCATGAACCAACTATCCTAAAAGATTAAGTTGTTAGGCGAAGGACATGAATGGTTTTATATCACATCTCTAACATGCCTCGTCTTGTAATCCCTCTGGACTTGAAATGGACAGTGCACATGCCCACTTACCTTGTACTGAAATTTATTTTTTTATTAAAAAAATGGGAGGAGCAAATGATCAAAGTCTAGACCACATGGTCCTCTCATACCGTGTCACGAATCAGTATCCCAGAAGTTTTAGTTGTCAGGTGAAGACATATGAATGGTTATATTACATCTCTAATCGGGCTCAAGGCAAAAGAGGACAAGAAAGCAACACTCTTGGCTATGTGGGATGGAATGGAAGATGACTTTTCTTTGTCTTGTTATGAGATTAACACTTGGGGACCAGTTAAGCATAAAATGGTTTTTCTTAGTAGAGTACACGGTTGTCAAAATTGCAATCCTACTTGTAGAATTGGGTGCTTTTATGTGTTTGAAATGCTGGAACGATCCCAATCCCAGCAATAAACTTGTTTTGCCTGTGATTGTGGTAGGATCACGATTTAGTGCTAAAATCAGTAGGATGCTTCCTATTATAGCTAATCAACCAGATGCATGTCCCCGAACCCAGCAAAAGGAATAAGAAACACATAATGTTGTGGGGATTTTCAATATTTTACTGTCCTGAAAGTCAGTAGGTCTCTCATTGATTTGATATTTTTTGCTACCTGAATTTCGAATTCATTCACCAAATATGCTTTCTTTTTCTGTACAGAACCCATCTCCAGTTACAGATTTTCTAGTCCTCACTCCTCTTCATTTTACTGGGTATTTTATTGTGCATTTTCCTATTATTGGTTGCTGATGGAGAATGTAAAATGAGGATTTAAAGTGTTGGGTAGTTAGGATTTGATGGATTCCGTAAGCGGACCTATGGTTTGCAGAAATTTTAGAGCTGAAATGAACAAGCTGCTTAAAAACCAAACCACTTGGAAAACATGACAGTGATACTTCTAATAATGTTGAATAATTTGTATTTTCTCATAGGGAATATATAAAATTTGGAACTCAATTATCTGCTTGTCTTTTGCTAATGCCTCTATGTGGGTTATCATTTATTAAGGCTGTAACTAAGGTTATACTGTGACTTTTACTTTCAGCATAAAGCTTTCTACATTGAAGAACTTGAAGAGCAGATGAAGAAACTTCATGAAGATCGTGCATCGGCCATTTTTGAAAGAAGAGCCACTAACAATGATGATGAAATTATTGAGGTAGAAGCAGCTGTGAAAGCTGCAGTGTCAGTTTTAAGCAGGAAAGGTGACAGTATGGAAGCTGCCAAAAGTGCAGCTCAGGATGCGTTTTCTGCTGTAAGAAAACAAAGAGACCTGCCAGTAAAGTTAGATGAATTTGGTAGAGATTTAAATCTTGAGAAACGGATGAAAATGAAAGTGAGGGCTGAGGCTCTTCAACGCAAGAGGTCTCAAGCATTTGATTATAATAAACTGGCATCCATGGAGTTGGATGATCATAAAATAGAGGGTGAATCAAGCACTGATGAGAGTGATAGTGAGGGCCAAGCGTATCAGTCACAACGTGATTTGGTGTTGCAAGCTGCTGATGAGATTTTTAGTGACGCTTCTGAGGAATATGGTCAGCTATTGTTGGTCAAAAGAAGATTTGAAGAATGGAAAAGAGATTATTCATCTAGCTATAATGATGCTTATATTTCATTGAGTCTTCCACTGATCTTCTCTCCATATGTAAGATTGGAACTCCTGAGATGGGACCCACTTCGCAAGGGTTTAGATTTTCAAGAGATGAAATGGTATTGAACTATTACTTTATTTTCCTTTTTAACTACTCTTTCTTGAAACATTTAACAATTCTTGTTTCACATGCTTGTGGTTATCCTTTACCTTCCATCAGTTTTTAACATGTCGAGTTTTTCTCTCTCTTTATATTCAGGTATAAATTGTTGTTCACTTATGGTTTGCCTGAAGATGGAAAAGATCTTGTTCATGATGATGGAGATGTTGACCTTGAACTTGTCCCAAATTTGGTGGAAAAAGTTGCACTTCCTATTCTGCATCATGAGATCTCTCATTGCTGGGACTTGCTTAGTCAACAGGAAACAGTGAATGCGATTGCTGCTACAAAATTGATTGTGCAACATGTGTCTCATGAAAGTGAAGCTCTTGCAGATCTGCTAGTTTCAATTCGCACACGTCTGGCTGATGCTGTTGCCAATCTCACAGTATGCTCAGAAAACCAACATTTACAATTAATAGTTAGAAAGTACATTTTCATGCATCTTATTTTATCTAAAAAAGTTGAAGTGTGCACAAATAAGTATCTGCTTTGTTCATTTTCTTTGGTCTGCATGGTGATTCTTTTTACTCTATTGGGCTTGTAGGTACTTCAAATTATGAAGCATTTGATGATAAATTCTCATCTTGTCTACTTTGTAGGTCCCGGCGTGGAGTCCGCCAGTACTAGCTGCTGTTCCAGATGCTGCACGAATTGCAGCCTATCGATTTGGAGTGTCTGTTCGGTTATTGAGAAATATTTGCTTGTGGAAGGACATATTTGCAATGCCAGTGTTAGAGAAGCTTGCTCTAGATGAACTTTTGTGTGGAAAAGTTCTACCTCACTTTAGAAGCATATCAGAAAATGTTCATGATGCAATAACAAGAACAGAACGAATAATTGCTTCCCTATCTGGGGTCTGGGCAGGCCCAAGTGTCATTGGAGACAAAAGGTTTGTTGATAATACTTCACTACTTTGTAAAATTGTTGTGACGGTAGTGATTACATTGTTTCATTTGAGAAGGCATTTTGGCATTTTGCACATTCTTGACTCTTAAGACTCTCTTGAATCACATGATTGTTAGTTTGCATACTAGCACTAACCAGAGTGAGTAGTCAATAGTGACCAATAGTGCCACGTCGTTCTGTGGCAGAGCATTTTGGCTGCTGGCGAAATCATGGAGGATAGTGTCACTATCCTCTTCGCTTCTCAGCTCCTCTATGTTCTGGTCAAATCCTGGTAGCCCACATATATTCTGGGCAAGATCACGCTATATTTGCCCAACCCATCCCTTTTCCAGCCAAGCCCACCCATTTTCCAGCCAAGGTCACCACCCCTTTGCAGCTTCCCTCTATTTTCTATCTTCCTTTTTCTAGTGTCTTTAATATTTTCTAAACCAACCAACAATCCTTTTTTTTTTTTTTTTTTGTCTGTCTTATTTATATTGTTGGTCTGTCTTCGAATAAATTCCTCGCACAGCCAGCTTTTATTTTGTCTTTCTATCTTATTTTTTTAGCTGTTGTCTTTTTATTTTTCAATCTGAAACAATTTAACAACTTGTTACATGAAAAAACATTGCTATCCTCTCTTTGTTCTTGGGGAATTGATATTGTTGTCTCTTTACACCTCCAACCCCTGTTTTGCAGTTCAAAAAACAGAAGAGGTAACTGGGCTTTTGTTAACTCCTGCAATTTAACTATTACATATACGAGACATCTTTTATAAAAATAACTATTTATCTTTGAGATATGACTTGAGTATGAATGTTGAACATGTCTCAAGTTTTGAGTACTTTTTGACAATCTATAATGATTTAGTAGAAAATTTTGTATTGTATTAGCTATAGCAGCCACTCTGTGATCTGCTATACAGCTATAGCATTTTTGAGTTGGCTGTTCTGCGTCGCTATCCAACATTGACTACTATGGCACTAGTATGGGTAAATTGGGTATTGTAAAGGCAATTGGGATACTGATTAAGTGTGTGCCTATTGCGGAGCTAATGGCATGGGTGGGGATCTGGGAAGAGGTCAAGGTTTAATTTGAGGCAAGCTCTTCCTAATGAAGTTGCTTCTCAGGGGTTATGAAGTCATTTAACTCAAGTCTGATGTCATATATTTTATGTGATCTTATTATATGTACAATGGTAGTTTTACCTTTGTTATTTGTGTTATTATGATTTTGGTCAGCAATCTAATACTCCCCCTATCCTATCTCCTTAAATTGTAGCCGCAAATTGCAGCCCCTAGTGGCTTATGTCCTATCACTTGGAAGGATTCTAGAGAGAAGAAATGTACTGGAGAGTGACACAAGTCATCTAGCTCGTCGATTGAAGAAAATACTTGTAGACCTCAATGAATATGATCATGCTAGGAACATGGTTAGAACCTTCCATCTCAAGGAGGCGTTGTGAGCTCAGGGAGAATTCATGTTTCATTATACATGGTCTTTTGGTATGTCGGGAAATCTGGCCCTTGGAGAAGCCTTCTCAAGTGCGATTCAGATAGCTTTTTGATCATTACACAAGTCTTTATAAGGAGTCTGCTTTATGATTTCATCTTGAACTTCAAATCCTGAGCAGGCATCTGTCTCGCCCACAGTATAGGTACGGATTGCGGAACTGATTGAGGACCTCCATTGCTCCTTCTGTCACCACGATGGTGAAGTTTTACAGTGCCATCTCTTAGGGGGTGCAGAGGGAGGTTTACCTGCCACTTTTTACTTTACCATTGCTTATGCTAGGGTCCCTGGAGAACAAGTATTGTAAAAATTCTCATGCTCTCCTGTGATTATTTAGATTACATCTGATATTGAATTGAAAGTCTAAAATAACTTTATACAACGCATCTATTCTAACGTTCAATTTTCCGCAAATTTGAGAGGAGTTCGGATTTTGGCAAGGTGTTTATATCATAATTTTAAATTCTCATGAATGATGTAGAGGGTATAATTTCTTTCCCATTTTCTTTCTCTAATCACCACTTCAATGAAATTTTTTAGAGGAAGTGTATGATACAATAATTTTAAATAAAGATTTGACGAAATAATTTAACCTTGAGTCCCATAAATCATATTTAAGTCACATATAAGCATATGAAGCCTGTATTTTAGAAAAAAAGGAAATTAGCAATATATAGCCAAATCGTACAATTTAAATTGTGAATGTGCTATTCTAACGACTACGCTCAAAATACGTAGAGCTCATTACTAGGCCTTAAGCCTGGGGGCAGGGTAGGAAAGCCCTAGTTCACTCAGCAGTTTCTTATCTCTTTTTGGTAAGGATCTTGTATCTCTATTGGTGAGCATGTTCCGTTGTGTACCGAGAAGCATGTGTTTGTCCTGTAAACAGGTTGAATGTGATTGCATGATTGGTAACCGAGTTTGGTGCATACTTTTTCGTTCTTCATAGCGACGAGGATTTAAAGTTGGCTCCTCACCTTTGGTGACGTGTTAGGGGTTATATCACGTGAGTGAGGGGCATTGTCCAAGTGACCTTTGTCACCAGCAATCGCATGTGAATTTCAGATAAAAACCGAAGCAATAATTGGAATGAGGTTACCTCAATTGTTTTTGTAGAAGCATTTTTTGCTCTTTAGGACTTTATATTTTTAACTTTTTTCTGTTAAGGTTTTTCACTTCATACTTTTAACCTTTTTTTTTATTCTAGCTAACTCGTCAACCAATAATTTTTTACCCAAAAATGTGGGTTGAATTGGATGTGCCGGTTCAATCGAATTTGAAAACACTCCAATTCATAGAGTATTAAGTTAAGTAGAGTTTGGAAAGTGTTAATTCGTACAAAATTAACCCACGTATGTATGTACGTAAGTTTTTTTTTTTAATTTATAAAACCACATCTAAATGACCAAATAAAAAAAAAAATGCTCAGAGAGTAAAAATGCTACTAACAAGTTATTGGGGACGCAAGGCCTACGAATGTTTATTTACACGATTTCACCATCAAGTCCTGCTTTGATTTATGTTATATTATATTAGATAATCCTTTATATTGTTTATCCTGATTTATATTATATTAAATTGTATATTTATACAATGTAAGGTGTATTGAGTGTAATATAAATTTAATGTCTTTCTTCTATTACCTTTAGGAAATTTTTAATTCTTCTAAGTTTTTGCACAAAGTTTGAGTGCAAATATTCAAGTAGGAATAAGCTTCCCTAATTACAATAATTTTTTTTTTTAAGGAAAATTATGTTTTTGATGCGATGATTTTTTAATCATATTATGAGAGTACATTTAATTAACGGTGGGGTGTAAAACACTTACATTCCCTCCAAGAGAAATGTTGACCATCCTAGCTACAGCTTGAAGCCTTGAATAGTCCTTAAGCTTGAGAAGTTAATGTCATTTACTCTATTTTTGGTTTGGTACCAACCTTAATTACTTTATTAATATGTCCGGGAAACATAAATATTGGGTGGTGGAGAGAAACTAAAATACAATTTATTATAGGGATTAGTGTTTTTGACGTTGTAAAAGATAATTTTATTTCATATACATAATAAGGTATGTGAGACTCATGTTTTTTTTTTTCTCTCTCTTTTCTTTACATTGCCCCACATCTAATCCATATACTTTTACGTGTGTAGCAGATAAAATCATTTCCTAACATTAATCCCTTTATTATATGATGAAATATTTTCTCACATTCTTGAGCACAATATCTGAAGGCAAGGAATTACATGATGAAACAATGAAGGAGACTATATGAAACAACATACTTTGATATAGCATCATCCGTAACCACTGTTCACTCCGCAAACTTTTTTAATTTAAACTTTTCTCCTCCCTGTCTTTCATCATGATGCAGTCGGAGAGGAAGAGAAAAATGTTCAACTACTCTACTTTTTGTATATCAGGAATATTTGGACTGATAGACCGTGGTCAAAACTTTGGCCTCAGACTCAAAAGTCAAAAGAATGCATTGAACTTCAAATAAAAGATATGAATTGTGAGTTGTGACACACATGCTTCTAACTGGGGGGCATGTTCTCATATTATACTTGTTCTTCCAACCATAAACTAGGTTATCTGTTCTTCCTTCAACCTTAAATGTGCTACAGGGTGCTGCTCATTGCCCCCAACAACCCTGCTATTGAAATTATGTTTCTCGGATATGTCATTTTGTGATTTTAGCAGTGATGCACTATTGTTGGCAAGAGTGTGGCTATTAGTCTTAGCTGCTGGCACATCATGATTATGTTTTCCTTCATATGTTGTTATGACAGCCTTAGGATCCGTTGAAGCCCTCTCAACATGCTTCCGAACACTGCAATCTGGGGTTGTGCATTTGTAATAGCTCCTATACATATATGATAAAAAACATGGATCATTATCTGAGTATGATGAATAATTGATCATTTCTTTGGGACCTATTTTTTTTTTTTTTTTGAAAGTTGTTATGGATAGTCATAATGGTCATCCATAGTTCAATAGATGCAATCAAATAAAGTGTTGGGGAAAAAAAACAATATCACCTTGGATAAGGGTTGCCTTTGACAACTTTCTGTCCATATTTGCGCCATCTATATCCATCATCTAAGAGATCAACTTCACTTGTTGTTTGCACAATGATTCTAGGCTCTGTGACAGTCCTATGTGAAGAGGCTGGATCTTGGAGCCTGACTTTTGTGTTTCTGCAGAATCATAAACCTTCATTAAAGCCAAATGATTATCTGTAAGAGAAATCTAACGTAAAGCCATTAAATTGGCATTCGCTTAACAACTTAAGTTTTTAGGTGAGATGATTGTTTAATATGATATCAGAGCCATTCGATCCTCACCGTCTCCCGTTCTTCTAATAAATAATTAACCATGGTATTTAAATTGACTTTCACTTAACAACTTGAGCTTTTAGATGAGATGGTTGTTTAATGTTTATCCCAGCATGAACAGGATTGTATGAACTAAAACCCTTACCTCCTCTTGGGGTCAGGTTCATCATTTTTCTCATCAACTTCAGTTTCATAATCACCTACTTCCTCACTGTCACTTGTTCCCGACACTCGTTCAGCTGTTATATGGCTAGATTCAATGTCCACCATCTTAGACATTGAATGAGAACTCATCCCTTCTTTCAATCTATTTAAACCTCTACCCTGAAATTGATAAGTTGAATGAAGATTCCCTTGCATATTAGAATTTTCATTTGAAGATAGGATCTCATTTGTGAGCTTGCTGGGATGAGGTTGCTGATGATTGTGCTCTCCTTTATAAATAATTGCAGTTACATGACCATCAAGAGAGCGCTCAACCTTTTTCTTGACAGAACAACTTGGATGTGTGCACTTATAATAACTCCGAGGGAACTCACTACCTTTCACCTGTTTCTGCCCATACTTCCTCCAATTGTAGCCATCGTCATTAGGCTTGTCAACATTCACAGAAGAAGATTGCAGTCCATGTTCAGAGTGAGAATAATCAAGAGATTTTTTCATTGCTGCCCCAGAATCTGGCATTGAGGGTGGTATCAATGAAGTAGCTTCAGTAAACTGTGTCAATGAGGTAGAAGGCACTACTGATACTGAAAATGGATGTTCAGCTTGGATTTGCACATTCGAGGGGGCTTGCACAGCCTGAGCTGTGACCTGTGCTAGTGCCTGTTGGTGTGTCATTCCAAAGTGCCCCTACATTACAAAAATACTTTTAGTGCTCCCATAGTACTAAAGACTCTGCATTCTAAAAACAGTTTTTTGATTTTCGAAAAAAAAAAAAAAAATCTTGTTTGATAAGATTTGTTTTATAATTTTTTTTTAAATTGTAACTGTTTTTATATTTTTAGAATTAAATTTAGAGAACATATTTGAGTTATTTTTATTTTGTGTTTTGACTTTTATCTTTTAAAACAAAAAAAACATTGGAAATATATGTTTCTATAACTATTTTACAAAAAACAGTTTTAAGAACAAAAAAATCATAACACAATTAGACCCTAATAAATTCTACTTAATAATGTTATCCTGGAAAAAAAAATTATGGCTGTCTGGCATCACTTAATAGTTAATACCATTGGATAACCGATATAATCCAACTGGTACCCTTTCAGATTGTGTAATTCACACATCCTTAACTTCATTAGAACAAGTGTATCACATCTATACTTATAAAGCATTATCTTATATAAAGAAAGTTATTTTTTGTGGTTGAGAGTTGCAATAAAAGTATATTTTGGATGAGGTACAAGAGAAAGTTGAGTAACCATTATTAATTGTTAGCATTAACCCTTATAAATATCTTGTATCTATGATATGATTGTTATTATCCTTTTTTGGTTGTTTCAACAGCTTCATTAGATATCAACATAATTAGAGTAATGCAATCTTATGAAAGAAGTAAGAGATAGAATCAAATGGTGGTAGCTCAGTTGACGCATAAGAGTTAGAACACGTGGGGTGAAAGCATGTTTGATCCTCTTCAATATCAATTTTGAAAAGAATTTAAAGCATTAATACTGGACCCGCTCCGAATCGGACTAATCACCGAGCCATGAACAATAATAATATTTCAAAAGGAAAAAGAGAGAGAGAGAGATTTGTTACCTGAGCAGGTGAATGGTGGAAACCACCCGGGCTAAAACCGGTGAACATGGGCATGAAGGAAGAACCTTCACCGTGCTCCGCCATGGCGCCGCCGAGGAGCTCAGAGAAAGACTTGCACTCATCGTTGTCGCCAAAGAAGCTCGAAAGCAGAGTCATGGGACCAGGACTCAACCCACCGTTGAAATAACTCTCCATCGAACTGCGTGGCGGTGGTGGTCCCCCCACCGCCGCCGACGGCGGTGGTTGCTCTCTCTCGCCATTTCCACCGCCAACCATTCAGTTTGATCGAAAAACAAAGCAAAGCAAAAATGAAAAAAAGAAAAAAGAAACAAAGAAAGAAAGACTCAAAACACTTTCTTTCTCTCTCTTATGAAAACTCAACTCAAAAGTCTGCAACCTTTTTTTCTTTTTCTGTGTCTGTAGTACGATGATTCCGGTTTGTACGTTGGTTTTGGTTGTTGGGTTTCGTGGATCTTAGTTCTCAATTTCAGCAAAAAGTCTTCCTCTGCTTCCTGCCATTTTCTCTTCTTTGTCACGTATGAACAAAATTATAATACTATGTATAGATATATATATGACATAATGATATCGGTTTTATTACTTAGTACGAAAAGTATTTATTTATTTTATTCATTTTAAATATTGTAAATGATGGCTATTTCTATTTGTGAGAAAAAATGAGAATAAAATGGAGAATGGGTTTTGTTTGTGTGTGTGGTGGGGTCATGCGAATGGTCGATATTGTCCCCGAAGACTTTTGAAATCAATGGATTTGGTGGAGGTGCACCAATCTTGTGTGGTGTCGTGAGACAGAGTTGGAAGAATGGGATAGTGCAGTTTCGGTAATGAGGATTAACTCTGGTCAATGAAGTTACAAACTGACAAAACACCTTTTTCCTTCATGAAACTCGGACAAGCTTTGCCACAAGATTATGTCTCCAGAATCAATGAAACTAGTCTCAATCTAATATTGAGAAAAAAGAAAAAGAAAAAAAAAGAGAGACTTCGTATTAATTAATGTAAAAGATAATCTTTAAAAAATAATAGATGCCGTGAAAAAGTTTTTCAACAAAAGTCTCACATAATATTATAGTTTTTGAAATATTTTAGGCTGTGTGTATAGTAATTGATGAAAAAACCTCACCCACTGTTTAAATATTATGTGAGGCTAGAATCTCGGCTTTGCATAGTTTTTCAACTCACAAAAGTGTAAAATAATATTAAGAAATAAGAAAAATGGTGTTATATGGAATGTTCTAAAAGTTGAATTAAATTAATTATTTGACTTAATTAGATAAAAATTAGATGACTTCGGGGCGGTGGCTTTGGATCGGTGGGAAAACCCGCCATTAAGTTTAATAGTGCTGCCAAGTCATAATCAGAACAAGTTCATCAATGTTGCATGCAATGGCATCTTTTATCATTTATCATCAAGCAAAATCATACCTATGATTTAATCTTGATGGTATAACCAGTGAAGATGAAATTTGTAAAATCTTCATATTATCATGCAGTTCTAAGAGATAGAACAAATTTAATGAAGTAACAAAAGTCACGGGCACCATGATTTAGAATAGCAAATTTTAAACAGGAGCTAGTTATAGTCAACTGTTGAAACTTTGTCCCCCACATGTTAAGTCGTGCTATATCATACACCCTTAAACGAAGTCTAGAATCAATTAAAAATGGGAAAAATATGTGTGATTTAAAGGATGTAAAGTTGTGTCATTTTAAGTAAAAGAAAGAGATAAATTATGAGAGAAAAAGAGTTGAAAAATAAAAATAAAAGTGTGAGTCCCATCTTTTTGTGAAAGTAAAATGACACAAATTGCATCATTTAAAAGGACAAATACTTTTTCATTAAAAATTTGGCTTTCGTACTTAAAAGATGAAAGTTGAATTGAGTATTATAATTTTTTTGCGAAAGTCCAATTCTTTATTCTCAATTATTATTACAAGAAAACTTTGATATACAGAATGATCATCAAAATATTCAAATAACCTACAATATATATTGTATCACAATTATAAAATTTATATTTTTAAATTCAAGATATCAGGAAAGCAATTAAAGTGTTATAAACAAAAAGTATTAGCTAGCTTTTGGAGTGATGTATCCCAAGATTCTTTACACGCGACCCCGAAGAATTCAAGTCCATGAATCCAACAATTCACGTAGAGCCAAATAGAAACAAAGGAAATGGAACCATCTCCATGCTTTCAAGTTACAATCAAAATGATTTGAAAATAAGGAATAGATATCTTAAATTTTAGTTATTCATCTACGGAAATAGATATATGCATTAATTTATATTTTATAACCAGCCGCACTATTATATATCCATCTTTGACCCAATCTTATGAGGATTTATAACTTTTTAATTGAGACCCTCACAAGTTCTCACATAAAATGCCTCTCAACTCATTTTCACAGTAAATAAATTAATATCCCAAATCACTGGTTTGGCAAGAAAGAAAAGAATGGTGTTTGCTGACATGCAGCTGTTTCGTTGGGCCTTTTTTTCCCACTCAGGGTATTCTCGTTCACATACTGAAACTTCAAACTTCTAAGAACAGAAAAAGGAACAAAAGAACCACAATGAATAGAGCAGATAAAATAAAATCAACATCAGTCTTAACAAATTTAGAAGCAATTCAAATTTTGAAGTTACATACCTTATATGGTATCTTTTGACTGGAGGACAACTTCAACAGAAGAAGCAACTCTCTCAAAATTTTCTATGCCAATTTTACTGATATTACAATGATGATAACTTGGATAAGTGATAGTAAACTTTTCTAAGTCTTTCCCATATCTCATCACTGTCATCAGTCCATGGATAACAAGAAAAAGTTCTCTTCCTGAAGGTCTGCCATAACTTTTCATCCTCCTCTGTCAAATGTGGATCAACTGATTTCAATAAGTACTTGTTGTCCTGAGATGAAAAGAGGATCAAGAATCATTTATCTGGAGTCCAAGGTTCAGTATTAGAACAAGCTCCTCAATGTTGCATGCTATGTGTAAAGAACCATCTTAACCCAAAATCTTAAGGTGTTAGGTGAGAGTCTTTTTAATGATTTATATTATCCTCTAATACACCCCTCACATAAGAGCCATTTGAGCTTGAAATGTGGATATTGCACAGGCCCGGTTTCTTTTTGGGTTTACCTTGTACTTATTTTAATTCCACTCGAAAGTAGGGACGGTGAGAATCGAACTCATGATCTTGTGGTCACTGAAGCTTTTTTTTTTTTGCAAACAAAAGGAATTACATTAAAAGATTACAGAACGTTACAAAATCTTGGGCTATGGATGCCCATCAAGTCTCTATTAAGAAATTCTCTGCACTCAGCTGGAGGTTCTTGTTGGATGTGGCAGTCCCAATCTGTCCACTTGCTCCCATGATGAGCGAGGGTATCTGCGACCATGTTCCATTCTCTATAGATGTGAGAAATTTTTGTCATCCATTGTCTTCCAAGCATGGCTTGCACTTGGTAGACCATGCGAGCAACCGGGTGATTTTTATCGCAACCATTGATAATTAAATTAACAGCAACTTGAGAGTCCCCTTCTATCAAAACCTTCCTGTAGCCTAAGTCCCAAGCTACTTGAATGCCATTTAGGAGGCCCCAAATCTCAGCTCTTAAGGAGGATCCTCTGCCCAAGTTCCTACTAAAGCCTATGACCCATCTACTTGAATAATCTCTGATGACTCCCCCACAACTAGAGTAGATTCCTCTATCACTACTAGAGCCGTCAACATTGAGTTTCATCCATTATTGTGGTGGAAATTCTCAACAGATAAGTTATAATTTTTCGTCGAAAAATTCAGAGTTATAATTTTTTTTGATTTATGTTTTTTAAAGTTTTCGATGAATTTTTTTTCGTCAAAAATTCACAAATATATTTTCTTTTTTATTTATTTTTTATAAGATTTTCGAAGAATTCATTTTTCGTCAACAAAATTCGACGGAATCGATTTTCTGTCGAAAATTAAGACTTTTCTAGTAGTGGCAGCTGTTCTCCGTCATTCTCTTCGTCGAAGCCATCTCCAAGCATTTCACTCATTTTTCCTTTCGATTTCTGCCATCTCCGAGCATTTCACCTTTCTCTCTTGTCTCCCTTTGTCTCTCGGTGGTATCTCTTATGCTATTATTGATATATTTTTGCGTAATGTTAACTATGATTTGTTTGCAGAGGCTATTTAGTGTTTTTTCGATTCCTGTTCACGCTGTTCATTTTTCATATGTAATAGTTGAAAAACGGGTGTCTTATTATTATTATTATTATTATTATTATTATTATAGGGTAGGTTATAGTTACTATCTCTAACTACAAAATCTTAACCGTTGATTTCTGTCAATCTAACGATTGTAATTTATTAGATCATACTTATTAATTAATTATTAATTTTCAATAATTATAACGGTTAGATTGACGAAAACCAACGGTTAAGATTTGGTAGTAAGAGATAGTAAGTAGGGGTGTTAACGGGCCGAGCCGAGCCGAGCTTTGGTCTTAAAAGGCTAAGCCTGTGTTTAAATGTGTCAGCCTGACCAAGCCTGTTACATGTTATAAATATAATGTTTGGCCTGTGGCCTGACTTATTTACAAAAAATAAAAGCCTGGTTTAACCTGTTAGCATGTTTAAAAAAAATAAGACAACAAAAATTTATCCAAACAGAATATACAATCAACAACACTGGTAATTTCATAAATATTCATAAATTTAATATATATTCAAACAACATAATATATAACAAAATCATTTAAAAACTCTGTTTAACCAATAAAATGGGGTGAAACGAATTGAGGAGAAAGAGAGAGCTATTATAAGTAATAAAAAAAATGAAAAATAAAAAAAATAATATACTAGGCCAGCCTGAGAGGCTCTAAGGCCGAGCTTTTGAATTGAAGCCTGAGGCTTTTTTATTAAATGAGCTTTTATACAAGTTCAAGCCTAATGCCAATAACCAATTTTAGACATGTAAGTTCGGGTCTTCACGAGCCAAGCCAAAGGCTCTTGACTCGTTTAGCACCCCTAGTAGTAAGTATAACCTCTACCTATTATTATTATTTTTGCTAAATTTTTTAGATTCTATGATTTTATCATTTTCACGCTCTTCAATCAATATTTATTTATCTCACTTAGAGCTTTTTTAGAATGTGTAATAATCCCCTTCGGTAAGTTGGCTTAGGTTACTATGTATAGTTCCATCTTTATGTTTTTTGAAGTGCCATGAATTAAATGATTTATGTAATATTCCCTGAGTTTTTGTTTTCTTTGTCATATGCTTGGTATCAATATTTGTATTTTTAGTATATTTTGTATAATTTATTATTGCCTATTTCGTATTTGATAAAATGTTTGAAGTCCCTAGAACTTAGATTTCTTATTCAAGTTATAATACTCTTTATTTTTTTTGGTGTGGAGTTATAATACTCTCTATTAATGTTACATTTTTATTTTTTGTAAGTAAGTCATGTTAGATACCGATAATTATATTCGTGACAGATTACAGGC